TTCACCGATGTGTTTTGTTTATGAAATCGCAGTTATTGAGTTTGTGTGATCTTGTTTTAAGTCTAGTCAATAATTACAATATTTTAATATTATTTATATATATTCTATCGTTCGTTGTCTTATTTAGGTTTTAGTTAATCCGTGTCGCATAATATTAACAGAATCAAAAAACTAATATTATTTATGAACGTCCATTTTCTGACACTGCTCAATATAATATCATTGAATGATTTGCATAAATTAAAAATTAATGACAATCGTGAAAAGTTTCTCAATTGCAATTATCATTATGAAATAGAATGTACTTCGTAATTTTTGTGCAATTTAGCGGTAACACTATACTGTAGATATTAAAAGGTTTAATTTTATAAAATATGTTTCATCCATAAATGTATGTAATAAAATATTACTATGATATTATATAAAAATATTATAATATTATATCAAATAATACAATAGGCATATAAGCTGCACGAGTGATGCAAGGTATAATTAATGGAATAAAGATAACATTATACAAATACATGCGTTAAAAATATATTCTGATAACTTTTTTCTTTTATATTCACGTATTTTTTAAAGAATAAATATTTGCACGGTATAATATTATATTAATTACTATTTTAGTATGATAAAAATAACCGAAACTTCTAGGACGAAATGGTTTAAATTTGTTAGCTCAGCATTTAATAACTATAGACTGTAAGACAGATAAGAAAAAATCAAACTATACATGAATATTTTTTATGGATATCAAACTCAAATAGTGCATGAAACTATAGGTACAAAGATTATTATTATTAATACAATGTGGACATGATTTTCCTTATCTCCAAAAACTATTTATTTAATCCTATACATAGAATTGGATAGAGTGCCTATTAATAATCATAAATTATGATAGACGGTGAACTAGCTGAGGAGTATACGGCTCATAGTTTGATCTTTACATTCCGTGTTTTTATTTGGTTGAAATTAGATTAAAAATGTTCGCTATTCTGATTTCTGACGTTTACGTGTAACCCAATACATGTGCTTTGCGTATTTACAGTATTGTCAATAAATTATAGTATATATTTTCGGAGAAAACATCCATTATTTATTTACTCTTCATTTTGAATTGAAGTTTCCTTATTATTTTATTGTTCCACTCACCGAACAATTTATTTGTTATATCGTAAGGTCAATGTAATTTATCTTCTTGTCCTGCACTGTAACGCAACTGACTACTGTGTGGACATATTATTTCGTATACAATCTAAACACCTTATTTTCCTTTACTTGACATAAACATTATATGTACATATATTTCTAAATATAATGTATGTACGTACTTAGCCACTTGGGCCAACTACGCAATAAAACTGTTTCTTCGATCGCTCGCACAGAAATAAAAACTTCCGAACAACAAAATTGGGGTTCACACATTTTAGTTAATGTAAATTATCCATGTAACTTAACTTGAAATTCATACATATTATTTCGATTATATTATTTCGATAGTATATTGAATTTGCCTATAGATTGATTATTACAAAAATCGAATTAAAAATTTATTTTGAAACATTATTAGTGTATATAAAATAACATTTTCGTAAGCCGTTGAGAACATTAAACACACGAAATCGTAGCTACTGGAAACGAACGAAGTTTTCGCAGTGAAAATTAATATCCATTAATCGGACGTCTAAAACTGATAATGGCCATTATTGAATAATTGAAATCATTATGTGGCTATTGTTCTAACACCTATATCATGTATTATGTGCCAACTACCAACTTTATAATATTATACTGCACTATGGCTATAGAGACGACGACGACAGATGGATCCTCGTTAGTACATGTGTTTACGATGTAGATAAATATTAATATTGATTCATAATATCTACATCGCGCTAATATGCGTGTCGCATGAGGACGTATACCCGCATGTGTAGTCTTCGTTTGTTTAACGCGCAGCTAGTACATTTTACGTTAGAAAAATTCGTTTTATTCGGTTATTTTTAATATTAGATATAATTTTATTGATGATCAAGATTTCCATTAAATTTTAAAATTTAAAACGCCTTCAACACTAAAATATCGAAAAAAACACCTTTCAGGACTCTCATAAATATTATTGCCTTTAAATTTTATGAATTCACCCTAATATCAAAAATAATAGGGTAAAAAGCCGAATTCATAAAATTTGCAATGTTATGCGTTTTTCAAGACAGAAATAACGTTGAACGGCTATAACATTTTATTGAATATTATAATAACGCTGTGCAGTTCTGTATCGTACACGAGATACAAGCGGTTGAATATAATATCATAATTTTCGACTGTGAATCAAATGGTGTATTGTAAGGGGCTCGCGTGTAGAAGCGTGACGACGATAATAACCCAACTCACGATATATTGCACCGTTAGGTTTCTCATACCCTGGAGGCGGGTGTTATTTTTTTTTTTTGGTGGGGCGGGCGTTGGTGATAAAAGGCTTGACAAAAGGGCTGATAGCCGTGTCCTATCTTCATTAAACTCGGATGCGGTAATCGGTTAGAGGAATGGTATCGTTGGCCGGAGGGATGGGTTAGTAATTTCCCCTGAGTAATAAGTACACCGAACAAAATATTATAGGACTATGTAGTGCACAGGTCAATATAAATAATATTATAAATTATTATTATACAGCGCGGTGTGTGCAGCAGCTGTATACCAAATTTCGAGTGATGTAACATTCGAGTAAATTTAAAACACTAACTATACGCGTATAATATTATATATTCTTATACAATATACGACAACGCGACGTTATATTATATCCGTATGGTTTCGTAATATTTATTAAATAAGGGATCAGACAAAAACTAATAAACTGAGTTGAATATAAGTTATAAAATATGAAATGCAATATTTAGGTCGGATATAATTCAGTTCCAGTAGATAAGTTTAGTCGTTTTATTGTCATAATATTAAAATGAAAGTTCTTTACATTTTTAGCCATTTGATCTTTGGTGACGTAGTGTAGATCGTTCAAAGTGCATTATACGCATCACACGTCATTGTTTGTATGGCTTCTCCGCGTTCACATCGTTCTAAATCTTAAATATTTCATTTTTTTTTTTTTAGTAGGTAATACTACACTTTTGACTGTGAGAGTGGTGCTATTCTTCACGAAGTTATAGTAATCATGACGACTATTAATTGAAAAAGAAAAGAACAAAATCGTTACGTATTTTATATTTTTCTCATAATCGTACAACGCACAACGCAATATTATAATATCCGAACTACCGCAGCCTAAAGCCTTTGTTCCATCTATCAGCAGTAGCAATATTATACGTGTATAATACTGTGGTCCGCAACCGCCGATCGGTTCGATCGAGTCGTTCGCTGTTCTCTCGCCGCAAATTTCATGAAGGTTTCGGAGTTTTAATTTTAATCGGTGTAATAATAACGTTCCAGTATTCCTACAACAGCAGCACAATTCAGTCGTTCAGGTTATGTTTAAAATCATTACCCTCCGTCGTTCTCCCCACCAAAAAAAAAAAAAAAAACCGTAAATAATACAACGATCTTTTGTCCGAGACCTATATTACCATTTATATAATACTTATTGTACGTTTATCCCATGTATGTTAAAGCATAATAATAATAATAATAATAATAATATATTACACTCTGTCGCGCGATTCACTCAGGACGGCTCCCGTTTACACGACTCTTGAATACCCGACGACCTTTCAACGTGCAATCCATCACGTATACACTCGTATCGCTGCGTTGCCGTTGGGTATTGACGTAACGTTGTCCGCTATTACAATATTATTTCGAGTGATTAACACGTACCAAGTGATTAACATTCGCGAAAACCGAACGAATACGCGACCGGATCCCTTCCACCTACCACACTGATCATTTTAACCGACTACCGGGTATAACGTATACGTCCTAATGGGCGGCAGCTGTCGTGTGACGGAGTTTCGGAGCTGGGGCGAAGAGGACTCGTTATAACTTATAACCGCGTTGTAGTAGCGGACAACGTATACGCGTATTTATAATATTATTTTGTCCGTACGAGATTTATTTTAAAAATCTGTTTCGTCACGACGCGTTTACGAGAGGAGTAGCGTCGAAGGCCGGCTGCCCGTGACCGCCGCGCCGAAAATTTCTGAATCCATTTTCGTCACGACGGTCGAAAGTTTTTTTTTTTCTCTCGTTTCCGCGGTAGGACATTACATGACTGTGCCGTAATGTCATCCAAAGGCCAAATCGACGATGAATTCCGTAAAATCGCCGCTTTCCTTTCTCCCCTCCCACTCATATGTGTACGGCGCACACGGATGGCGTACGTGCGGAACAAAGGCCAGCTCGGCGTTGGTTGTCCTATCTCTATCGGTCGGGTTTTTGGAACGGAATCGGATAACGACGACAACGACAACGACAACGACGAGGGAGAGAGAGAGAGTGTGAGTGTGAGTGGGAGAGAGCGAGAGAACGAGAGAGACGGCGCGCTGTGGAGAGATACACACTCACTCGCAGTTGGCGAGAGCCACACACAAAGAGTGTGTGAGAGAGAGAGAGTGAGAGGGAAAGCGCCGCCGTCGACAAAGAACGAAAGACCGAACAGATAGATGCAGCGATGGCCTGGTGGCGGGGCGCGGGGGACCGAGAACAAGCGTAATCGTCGGCGGGCGGGGAGAGCGGGATCGTGTGTATACGTGTGTAAGTGTGCGCGCGCGCGCGTGTGTGTGTGTGTGCGTGCGAGTGTATATTATTTAGGGCTCCGGGCCCCAACGCGCACGGAGTAGGATTTTCGGGGGTCGGGATGAGCGGCGGCGAGCGGGGGGTTATCCGAGGGGTCCCCCACTCGATTGCGATCGGCTGGTGCGACCGACCGCCGCCGGTGGGGATGCGACGGCAGTGGCGGGGCGCGGGGTTTCTTTGTTCGAACAGCTGATCCGCGTTAGCCGGCCGGCGGATGGGACTGCGACGACCGTCGACCGCCGCCACTCGCCAGCACAGCCGTCAGTCCGTACACCACAGCCGCACGTAACGTTTCGCAGTCGTTGTCGTTAGTCAGTCGATTAACTGCCGCGGTCAGATTCGGTTCACTCCTTAGCTGCTGTACGAACACCGACCGAGTATCACGCCAGTGTGTGTGTGACAGGCGGATCACTGTTATTATTGTTTTTCCGTTGTCGCGTTTCACGAGCGATTATTCGACGCCAGTCGTAATATCGTCGGTTTTGTTTTTTTTTTTTTATGAGAAGAATATTTAATCGCGACGATATAATATTTTCCTTTTAAACCGCCGCCACCGAAAATCAGTCAACATTTCTTTCACTACTTCATTCGTCATTACGATAGCTAGGCGCGAAAAAATTCCGAAAAAAATGGAAGTCGTACCTCCGTACTATATACAACCGTCGTACCCGGTCCATTCCACTCTCGGTACTTGCCTTTTTATTTTATTTTATTATTATTATTATTTTTTTTTTTTATTAAAAATTATTTTATTTTTTATTTTTACATCTCAATATTGATAATTTTTATTTTTTATTTTTATTCCAATAAATATAAATTAAAATTTGAAATTTTATTTTTCTAATAAATAATTAGAATATAATGTTAAACATTTTATGTTAATATTTCATTTTCTTATTTAAATCATTTATTTTTTATTTTTACATCCTTCTAAAGATCTGTGTTATTTTATATGTACACAGGAATCTTGAAATTGGAGGACATCGAGTCGGAGACCAGTGCGTTTATGGCCTTACACCAACGACTTGAAGAAGAACTTAAGGCCGCTAAACGTGCGCAATTGTCGTGCGGCGAAGTCTTATTGCCGCCTGACTTACTCCACCGAATAGCTCATGATGTTCTCAAAATGGCTGAAAGTGAACCCTGTGGTCTCAGGTGAGTTTAGTTTATTTTTCGATAACAATTTGTTTTCACTTCTCTCACTTATTTACTTGAGACCTCAGTACTTATTAGGATATTTTTTTTTCTATACTCGAGATTTTTTTTTTTTTAATCGATTAAAATAACTAATACATTTTTCTATCCTCACAGAGGATGCACTTTGTACCTGAATTTCGAAGGTGAACAAGAATGCCGGAAAATCGGTACGATCAAATGCGACACCAATACAGTGTCCACTTTTGAGTTGTTCCTTACTCTCAAACAAAACCCTAGAAATGCATGGTCACTCATTCCACTATTCATTAGGTAAGTTTGTCGAAACATGATTTAACTATAAATTTATTTACTCGCTCCGCCACATATCAAACGTTTGATGCAGCGCAGTGTTTTTTCTCGTAAATTTTCCGCCTTAACAAAATTCGTTTTTTTTTATTCTGGTGTAGGAATTTTACAAGCGGCGGCACTATAGTGATCGATCACGAATTCACAATAGAAAAACGGAAGCTGTATAGGTCTTTTTTAGAATAAAGAGCGCCGGATGTCCGGCGCTGCCGAACGCCAAATCCTCCACCTCCTTCTCATTATCAGTATCTCATCAAAACACCATCACCACTACAACTAAAAATCCAACCATAACTAGTACGACCGATAGTACTCGTACCACTAATAGCACCGCCGTCGCCGTGATTGAGAGAGAGCCAAGACTGATCCCCTCGGAACAGCCTGTGCGTTACAAGACGAAAAACACTCGTATCAACCAGTAGCGGTCTTTGTCGTCGTCGATATCATCAAGTAACAAAAAAAAAAAAAAAAAATCCCCAATTTATAATATTATAACATATACGTGTAATAATATATTGGTCTCGTGAGTGTTTGGAAGTGAATATTTATATATATATATATTAATTAAGTAAAACTAAACTTAAAAAAAAAAACTAGCATACGGCATGATATATTGTTTCATACGTTATAAACCGTGTGCGTAAGTTAAAAAAAAACCGATTGTGATCAGTTCTTTATGTTACGTTTAGTTTTTGTTCTCGTTATTATTTTTGTCGATACATTTATACATTGGATTATATTTATATTATATATATTATATATGTCGCCAGATTATAATATGATTATTATTAATATTTTTTTTCCTTTTTTATTTTTATTTTATTTTTTTACCCATATAAGTTGTTGTTCTTTATAGGATTTTTAATAAAAAATATAATATATATATATATTATATATATTATATATTCATAGAATGTAAACATTTAATATTAAATTATTATAGATTAGAGTTTTATAGAGTATAGTTAAAAAAAAAAACAAAAAAATATATTGTGTATTAGGTGCAAAATAATTTTTTATTAATGTACGTATTTTAAGTGAATGGTAGAGAGAGATATAAAATATATATAATATATAAAGTGAATATAATATTATCAATGAGGAATTATTAATCAAAACGAAAAAAAAATATGTTTATATTATCGAGTGTTTGATGTCGCGTGTGTCCTCCAGACAATGATAAAACTAAAGTAGAGTTTAGAATTTTAACAAATATTAACTTATTTAGGCTATAAATAATTCGCACCAAAAAAAAAAAAAAATATATATATATATATATATATAATATAATAACTTAAGCAAAAAAAAAAATCCCAACTCATCAGGCGTTTTTTAATTTGTTTTGCCAGATGTCTTTCATGTTCAAATATCTATATTGAAAAAAAGATATATTAATCTTAGCGTAAGTGTTCCTAACTGACATCACACATACAATTAATACAATATGCTATGCATTTATATATATTAATGTATATATATATATATATATATATGTTTAGTTATTAGTGATTTTAAATTATTTAAAAAAAAAATCCCTTTTATTAAGAGCTTTTATTATTTTGTGTGATTATCTCACAAATGTGATATAATTTAGTATATCTGTATATGTATATGTTTCTATAATATGTACATGTATTGACGAACAGAATGAGATTATTATTAATATGTTTAAAGAATTAATGTTGTAGGTCTGTCTACAATTCTTCTTATGCAAATAAGATAAAAAAAAATTTTAACACAAACACACCCATATATATATATATACGTATAAAAATGATTTTTATTTAAAATTGAGTCAAAAAAAAAAAAAATTAAGAATTGGCATTAAAACTAATCGTTTGTTTTTAAAATAATATTTTAATTTAAATAGGCTAGTGAAAAATACCTATGTATTGTGATAACGGATTTTGACTTTTTTCCTTAAATGTAAACTTTCAAATTTCGTAGGCTTTAAGCGCGAGTGTGATGTGAATTTTTTATATAACAGCCTGTTTTTCCTCCAAAAATTAATAATTTATAATTCTTTAAGAATAACTAAACCATTGTAATAAGATATATTTTTATTTTTTTATTTTTATTTTATTTTATTTTTTTTTTTTTTTTTTGGTTATTGTAATGTATTTCTGATCTCAGTGGCACTGCATAAAGTGTAATCTTAACAGTATTTTTATTTTTATTTTTTTTTTAAAGTTAAGCTTACCTTTGAATTGTGTTAAAAGCAAAATAATAAAATGCTGCGCTGATTTCGAGTAGTAGTACTGTACTACTCAACAAAGCGTTTAAAAGATTATATATTTTTGTTTGTATTTTATATATATGTATATATATATATATATATTATATTATTATACTTTTTTTTTTTCGTTTCGTTTATACGAAGAATCCCCTTTTATTGTGGCACAACCTCACCACCCCAGGCCAGTCTCATATCACTTCATAGCAATTGTCATTTTTTTTACTTTTGTTATGTAGTAGATAATGAACAAAAAAAATAATGCAAAATATAAAATTTTAAAATGAAAAATAAAAAAAAAATATTTTGACAAAAGAAAAACCGTGTTACAATTATTTTTTCCTTCTCCATCACCAGTATTTAAAATATAATTTATAATATTATTAGCAATAACAATTGCAATAATAATCGTTCGACAAAACTACGATATGTGTACTAGCTGTGTACTTGCCGCTGAAACACTGAAACGACGAACAGCCACTAACGCTACAACGGACCTCGCCGATAAGTTGTAAACGTACAATTTTAACATGAAATTGTTATTATTTTTAATTCAATTGTGTCCTTGGTTCACCGAACTACCGAAGTACTAATTGTTTCACACACCATAGCAGCATGTTGTTTTTGTTCAGTTTTTCGAAGTTAAAAAAAATAAAATAAAAATTGACCCCATTTCCACGGGGCCCGGGTCGTTGAACCACCTCCACGGGCACGCTAACCGGCAGAGGACGACATCGTGAATCGGTTGAAAGTATAATATCGCGTTGGATGACGATTATATTTATTATTATTCAGTGGCGACCGACAATAATGATAGTGATAATAATTGTTTCGCTCGTGTGCCAAGTGCGTGCGGCACACGAGAGACACGAGAGAATCGTGTGTGTGAAACTACACACACGAACTGCTTTGCCGTGCCGAGCATCGCGTGAGCGTTTATTCGCTTTCTATAAATCGAACTCGCCAACAATAAAATTCACGACCGCACGCCGCTGTAACTGGCTACCCGGTATTCGGTAACGAACTTTGGCGATGATATCAATCGATAACAGAACCGCAGTGGTGAAACGGTGACTACACTTCTGCCGCCGACCGTAGTTATGTTACAGGTCGGAAGTGGGAACAATAACATCGTAATATTCGTCGCCGGGTTCAGTGCTAGGCCACCACTTACATGTGTGTAAATTATGGCCTAAGCATGTATACTGAGCACGCCAAAAGATAATATAATTTAATATAATGTACCCCGTCGACACTCGGTGACTGGTGTATGGTGTATCCATTTTACGGTTTCGAAAAAAAAAGTGAAATAATATACATCCAATTCACCACATACACACTGCTCACGTGATAATAGGATAGTCGGACGACACACACACACACACACAGCGATCGACCCATAAAACCTTTCTGTATATTAACCGATTTCCCCACTTTACTAACCGCTGTCGTCACAATGTCCTTCAAACGTCTCCGATTACGACGGTAGGTACGAATAATGTGTGTTGCGTGTGTGTGTTCGCGCGCGCCTATGACCGGTCTGTTATAAATGTTGTGTTCGTCCAGAATCGAAAACACACTGTGCGCACAAGAGATGATTATTGTTATTATTATTATCGTGCTGCGCGTACACAGTCCCGCGGATCCCGTCGCAAAACCTTGTGGGCGGAAGTGGTGGTGTGCGTTGGGAAAAAAAATGAGCGAGGAATAAAGGAGACTCGGGACGAAATCATTATAATAATATATATTTATTTATACACGGCCGGTGCACGGTCACGAGATTTCGGTGCAAATGTAGAGGAGAAAGAGAGGTTTGAGATCTCGTTATCGAGTGTTCCTGTTAAGTTTTCTACCGCGTCTCCACGTCCGACTCGGAGATCGTTACCCGCTGCAGACCGCGATATGACATCAAAAATATTATAATGCTATAGAATGATTGCTGGAAACCAGTTCTCGGAGATCGCAGGCTCTCTGGTAATCGGTCGGCAGGAGGGCCGCCGAGACGTTGATGTGCACGAACATGTTACGACCGGTCGCCGGGCCGTTATTCATCCGGCGGCCGCTAAACCACCACCCGCTCCGCGCCAACAATAACAACGATTGACGACGACGACAATATCAGTCCTGGTCTGTTACAACAGGTTCGTGTTCCTCTCCCTCTCACCGCCCCCCTCCTCGACCATTAGTTATTGGAGTTCTTACGTTTTTTTTTCTTTTTTTTTTTTTTACTACCTTCTGATAGTCCAACGAAATGAACAACACACGTACACAAAATTTTATCACAGTGAAAACAAACATCCGAAATAACAATATTATTAATTTCGTGTTATTTATGTTCGACCAAGGACTGTTCTCTTATAGGCGCATTTTCAGTTTATTTTTGCGGGGGCTGAACAAAATGATGACAAAACATACCCGCAGGTCCTTGACAATTTTTTTGTGCATTTCATTACCGATACAATACGATTACATTATTTACATTCAACATTGTCATTATTATTCAGGCCTATCCCGTGAGCGGGTGTAGACTATACAGGTGTACACAAGTACACACCCTACACTATCATCAGCAACAAAATAATTTATAAAACCGAATAAGAAGCAATAAGGAAATAAGTGCTAGTTAAAATTAAAACGAAAATAACCAATTAATGTGTGATACCTATTACCTATCACGAATTAAGAGAACATGTCAAAGCACTATACAGTATATTTTGTCTTCTCTTTCTCACCTACGTTCAACACGGCACGGCGTCTTGCTGAACAGACGACAGCTAAACTAATCTTGTTTTGTGTTTCCTAGTATTATTTAATTAGGGGGACAAACGTTTTAATGAACTACAACACGGGGAAAAACTATTCGTGAGCTTATTTCTACTATTATCTCAATACAATAAAATTAATACCTTCCATGAATTAATATGTGTCATAATTGGTACAAACATCGTCTAAATTATTTGCTGATAAAATAATATGGATCCCTAAAATAAAAAAAGTATTTATTTTGAAGTCGTAATTTTAGAGTTGAATTACATGGAATTATAATATTATTATTGTAAATATCCGAACATAAATTTTATATATTTTATACAGATTGTACAAATAAAAATAAATCTGTGAAAAAAAATTTTTTTTTAATTTCTGTAATGTATGCTTAGATGTATACCTAGTACCTATGTATATATAACTACTCACATAATGATAATAAAATAAATACACATGAATATATGTATATAAATAAGTATGTCCGTCTTCCCATTCG